CTATTCGCTCCGCACTCCCTAATTTCAGTATCCCGAGCTCTGAGAAATAGTGACAGTGGTTTCCCAGAACACACCCGTCCTCGCTGCTCTGAGCACGTGCTACGTCATCGCTGAGGCACGCTGGCACACTTTTGCACAAGTGAACGCCTTGCGGAGACTGTTCCATGTTTCTGTGTTTCATTCTCTAAAGCAAACACTGAGTCTGGGAACTTATGTCCAGCAGATGTGAACAGGAGGAGAGTGAGTTTGAAAGATTTTTTTTTTTTTTTTGCTGAACCAGCGATTGAACTGAGGCCCCTGCGCTTGCCAGGCAGGCACTTATTCCACTGAGCAACTTCCCCGGCCAGGAGAGTGAGTCTGAGGCTATCCTGGGCTGTATAATTAGACCCTCTCTTCAACAACACACACACACAAAGAACATGAGGACACTGGCCAAGCTCAACAAGAAAATGCAGCTGTGTAGTAGGGGTGGGCTGGCTCAGGGGTCCAGCACGTACCTAGGATTGTAGGCAGTTAAATTACATAGAAATATTTCAGGCAGTCAGACAGGGCCAGGCCCTTGAGGAGATGGCACGGAAGACATAATACGTTACAACTGTAAGGGAGACGGAGGCTCCGAGCCGCTGTGGGCCAGACCTAAAGACCAAAGATCAAACAGATGCTGAGTGGTTCGATCCCCACAACTCAAGCCGGCCAAACCTGCCCTGAAGGCATTCGGAGCAAAAAAAAAAAAAAAAAGAAAGAAAAATCCGAACAGATGCTGAGCTCCCTAAAGATAAGCATGCAGGATTGATCATCACCTTCAAGAAGCCGGCAAGAGTCACTAATCCAACTGCTACCGGCTACCGGCTACGGGCTACTGGCTGAATTCTTGTCCCATAGGCATGCCCGCTTGCGACATGACTCCCCTCCCCATTTGGTCCTGAACTTAATCACCTGAGCGGTGGTGCTTGTAATCTCATTGGCGGACCACAGTTCTGTCCTACTCATGCCCACCTAAGCGAGTCCCCAGGTCCTCTTCACCACCTTAGACCTGCCTCCCCGCATGGTTTTACTCTACAGAATTCCCAGGAAGAGGGGGCTGGAGAGATGGCTCAGTGGTCTAAAGCACCTACTTGGAACAGGCTTGACAAAGCATGGGGACCGCGGTTCGAACCCCAGCACCACTTGCCAGCCCCGCTGAGCTGGACACACACACACACACACACAAAGTAAATGTTAAAAAAAGAGAATTCTCTCCCCTGATAAATATTTTGCTCTTAACCTCCATTTGTTTCTAACATTCATTCTTTGGTTTTAGAGAACACACACTTGTCCCAGGTACCTTTCGGGAGGGCAGTTTCCCCTCCCCTAGATCACCAGCATAGGAAGGCCTTGCCTTTGATATTCAATGCCATAAAAGCAAAAAGAAAAAGTCTCCATTTTTTTCCCCGAAGATTGCAGTCTTGGTTTGTTTTTTTCCAATGAAGAAACACCTTAGTAAATACAGGTGAAGGAAACTGTAACTACTTCATAAGAGGCGGGAAGCAGAGAGTAGGGACGTAGCCCCAGAGCGTCCAGGGGCCAGAGTGGCCCATCAGGTGACGCTAGCACGACTCACCCAGACCCCAGAAGCGTGCTTTGCAAGTATCCCGCGCTCACCCAGGCCGCTCCAGCGAGGACAGGCGCGCCACTCGATTGCGGGTGCTACTGGACCTGCGACCCGGTGGGCGGGAGTGCGGGTCCGAAGCTTGGCTAAGGCAACTGGAATGTCTGCTTCCCCTTCACCTCACTGCTTCGCAGACCTCCCCGCCGTGCAGCAGTCCTTTCTCTTTCTCTTGGTCCCGGGAAGGAGTTTTAGGACCTTGATTCTTCTTTTTTTCAGAACCTGGGATTGAACTCAGGCCCTTGCGCTTGCCAGGGAAGCGCTTATTCCACTGAGCCATCTCCCTGACCTTCCCCAAAGCGCTTCCTCCTTCTGCCCCACCCCAGCGCTGCACACCCTTCCCGCCCAAGCAAGGCAGCCCCAGTGGGCTCGTGTGTCACTGACCTTGTCCCTCAAGGTCCGCACCCATCAAAAGTCCCTGAAGTCTCAGCCCCGTCTCAGGTCCTGGGATCCCCCATCTCCCAGCCGTCCATCCTCTCCCTGTCATAAAGGCCTTTCCGTCCTTTTCTTTTGCTTGTCTGCTGCGCAACAGCCAGCCCTCCTTCTACTCCACTCGGTCCTGCCCTGTCCTGAAGACATCTGGGGACTGAAGCTTTTTCTTTTTCTTTTTTTCGTCTTTTTGAGACACGATCTGGCTGTGCAGTTCAGGTCGCCTTGTGCACACTCTGCAGCCCAGGTTGGCCTCGAACTCGCCGTGATTCGCCTGCCTCAGCCTCTGGGGTGCTGAGATTACAGGCATGGGCCACCACGCCTGGTGCAGTGGACTGATTCCCTCATAGGACACTGACCATGGAGCCTTCCGAGCACACAAGCGAGCCCTCTCAGGAACAGCACTCCAGAACCATCAATATGGGGCGGGCCAAATAGCTCAGTGGATTAGTCAGGGGTTCGATTCTGGGCCTGCGATGCCGGCCCCGCCCCCTAACCCTAATCCTAATCCCAGCTCTTGGGAGGCTGTAAACAGGCGGGTCACTACGAGTCCGATCTAGTGAACGCCCTGTAGACCCTAAAAAAAAAAAAAAAAAAAAAAAAAAAAATCAATAAAACTGGGGCATATTTAGCAACCCAGGAGTACACTGCTTAACGCATATATGGTTACACCTGGAGAGGTTGACGTTTTAAGGAAGATCTTTGTCCGGAAGTTCTGTTTTTTTTTTTAATTTATTTTTTATTTATTTATGTGTCTGTGTGGCCGAGCGCTCAGCCAGCCCACTAGGGGGCAGGGCTGGTAGGTGGTGCTGGGGGATCGAACCGCGGTCGCTGTGCTTTGCTAAACTTGTTCTAAGTAGGTGCTTTAGACCACTGAGCTATCTCACCAGCCCCTGTCCGGAAGTTCTTTTTTTAAAATTTTATTTATTTATTTAATTTTGTGTGTGTGTGTGTGTGTTTGGCCAGCTCAGCCCAACAGGGAGCGGGGCTGGCTGGCATGTGGTGCTGGGGGTTTGAACCGCGGTCCCTGTGTTTTGCTAAGCTTGTTCTAAGTAGGTGCTTTAGACCACTGAGCCATCTCTCCAGCCCTGTCCGGAAGTTCTTGCGTGACCATCTGTTAGTTGCCTTCCGTCCGTGCCCGCAAGAGTTAAGTCCTACACATGCAGGACCGAGGGCTGGCGGTGGAGGTGGAGCCAATCATTGCATAAGAGGCGGGCTGTAGGAACTGTCCAATCAGAGGCGAGCTGCAGGAGCTGTCCAATCAGAGGCGGAACGCGGGAGCTGTCCAATCAGAGGCGGAACGCGGGAGCTGTCCAATCAGAGGCGGGACGCAGAAACTGTCCAATCAGGTGAGCCGAGGGGCAGGACTTCCGGTGCTGGCTCCGCGTCCCCAGGTTCTTGCCCGGCGTCCCTCAGCGCCCTAGACCGCCGTCAGCGACTCCCGCCGGCCGCGGGCTGCGCGGAAGGACTCTGGGACGCCCGCGATGGTGAGGCGGAGACGGGGCCGGGAGGGCGGGCCGGGCTGGGGGCGGGAGCTGGGGGCGGGCGGGCGCGGGGCTGCGTGCTCGGTGGGCGGCGGGCGGCTCCGAGCTGTGCGGGGCGGGCTCGCTCGCCGCCTCCTCCGACCTCCGCGGGGTGTGTGTGCGCGGGGAATTCCTCCCTGCGGTCCTGCTAGTGGGTGTTGGTCAGGGCCCTGGGAATGCACGGCAGGGCTCATCCCTGGCGCGGGGGACGGGGGGCGGGGATGGGAGGGAAGGGGGCGGGG